ATTACTATTACTATTACTATTACAACTGTTATTACAATTATATTTCTACTATTATTATTACTATTACTATTACTATTGTTACTATATATATATATATATATATATGCATAAAGACTACTCGTATTATTATTGTTGCTATCACTAGTATTACTACTAATTGCTAAGTATATCCTTCTTGAAATAGCGATGCTCATTATTCTATCTTTACGTCTGGCACACCGGAGCCTTGGGCTTTGCGACGAATCTCTCATACCCGTATCCTCAAGTGCAAAAGGGTTTCTGGTTAAGGGTTTAGGGTTTAGGGTTTAGGGTTTAGGCTTCAGGGCTTCGGCCGAGAAGAAAGAATCTGAATGCGCCCGACATTGCGCGAAGTTCCACAGCTACAGCTACTATGACCCTCGGCAAACTCAAGCGTACTGCGACACTTGCCGACACAACTGTCACAGCAGCTTCATTGCCATCCCTTGAATTTCATGGCCGTTTCTCTCCTGACCACCAAAATTGCGAGAGGTGCACATTTGATGCTCCGATTGCCAATCCTTTCCGCCCTCCGCTAGCCACGAAATGATCACCGTCAGTCACCATGAATAATCCCAGCACAACAACATCAGCATCATCCCCACCATGACTCATCATCATTGGAATTATCATCACCATCGTTGCCATTACAATGAACGTCGTCACATTATCACCAGCATCATCACCATCATGTTTTCCACAATCCCCATGCTATGACCCTCGTGACTATCATGATCGCCAAAGTCTTCATGGCTTCAGGCATCTTCATCCCCCTCAGCATCTACAACAGCGGTGCAGCAGCAATGACACCAACAATAATCAAACAGTCGCTGTCATAATTGAGAAATGAGCCGACGTACTGGCCATGATAGTATGGCAGTCTGATGCAGAACCAAAACAACCCATGATGCCGCCAGCACAAACACAAATACAACACCGAGAAAAGAAGCGGGAAGCAAACAACACCCACGCTTACATCAAATCAAGATGTGAAGCATGGGAATGATAAGACTACATTCCAAAAAATCTCACACGAATAGTACGGCGGAACTGTTGAAAAAGGGAACCACACCACTGAATATGCTGCTGGGGATGATGACAGAGAGGATGCTGCAAGCACCAACATTCAGAAGATCTGTTTATTCATCAGAAACGGACAAACCACGTTAATAGCAACAGTAACATCCACAATGCTTGCTTCGCTATTTCAAGTTTCGCGCCTCCGGGGCACGGCAGCTCGCGCCGCTCTCGTGAAGCGCAGTCTGTCCGAAGGCACAGCAGGGTTTACAATGTACGGATTTGGGTTTCAGGTTAAGAGAGATTTCGATTAGAATTTCCGGCAGGATGGAAATCGGAACTTTCTCTAAGAAGCCTACTTGAAGAATGAAGTCGCGGTGTTCTCTCTTTGCCTGCAGGGGTTGAAGAAAGATGCAGTGCATGCACGGCACACCAGAGGGAGACCCGGTGTGACCCCATCAATTCCGAAGCACAATCGACACATAAATTACAAGTTCAGGACTGACTTCTGCTCGAGAGCAGGTTCAGGGTTTACGGTTTTAGGGTTTTTTTCTGGAAACCTTGACCCGAAACCCTAGACCCCTCGATAGAACTCTTCTGGACACCGCCAGCACCTGATTCTCGCTCGCTAACGATGCGTCGGTGGAATCCACCTGGGACTAGGCTCTAGACTACTTCTACTTATATGTGTATATATATATATACAAACAGATATGTGTATATGTGCATATATATATACACATACTGACACACGTATGTACGTACGTAATGTATGTATGTATGTATGTATGTATGTATGTATGTATGTACGTACGTACGTACGTACGTAGGTATGTATGTATGTATGTATGTATGTATGTATGTAGTGTATGTAATGTATGTATGCATCTGTATATATTCATGTATATGTTTCTGTATATGCTTATGTATGTGTTCAAAGAAACAAGTGTGTGTGTATATATATATATATTACATATACATACATATGCGCATATTTACCGACTGGGAATGTCTTTCCGATATTTAAGGGTTGAGGATTCCCGGGTCTGGCTGCGACAAAAACCCCAAAACCTAAACTACAGCCCTGCACCCTAAACCCAAAAGGTCGGTTCAGCGTTTCGGGCTTCGGGTGAGTCGAAGACCCCAAGGCTCTGGGCTGCACCCATGTCAGAAAAGGCACCCTTATCGAGACCGCTTGAAGTAGACCAGGGGTATTGAGGGTTTGGGCCTCAAGGGCTTCAGTATTTCAGGCTTGAGAGTTGTAGGATTGAGAAAGGAGACTCTGCCTGCCTTGTTGCCCCAACCCCCAAACCTAGGCAAGACGCTTTTCAAAGCCTATCCAAAAATCTTCGACCCGATAGAATAGACCCGGCCCCGCCTGACTGAGAGCACTCGCACTCGGAGCACGGCAGAGCTCGAAGGTATCCTCTTGCTCATCCGAGGCTTTCGGTTTTCTAGGGTTTAAAGCATTAGGGGTCGATGAAGTTCAGCAGAATCCCCTGGGGCGCATCCAGCAAGGCACAACATGAGAGTTTATTCAAACTAGTACTAGAATCCTCTTTGTGACGGCCCATGACAGGAGCCCCCCAGGATCTCAGAAACCTATCGCTTCCCAGGGCCCTTTCTCTTTGCATCTGTCCTACAGTTCTCTGCGTTCGCCTTTCGTTTTCTGCGGCTGTTTTCTCAAGACCGTCTGTGGCAAAAAGGTACTCCTTGAAACGTTTCCGCTGGCGCAAGCGACAGCGAAAGGTGAGCCAGCATTGAATTCATCTCCAAACAGGGCCTCCGGACCTGTTGCTGAAGGAACCACAGCGGTGGCCACAGCATGAGATTCAGAAAACCCTAAACCCTAAACCCTAATTCCCTCCCTCCTTGGCCTTAATGC